TAAAGAATGCAATCCCATTCACAATAGCCACAAAGAGAAAATACCTGGTAATACAGCTAACCAGGGAGACAAAAGATAACTGCCATGAGAATTAAAAAACACTGCTGAAAGAAATCAGAGATGATACAAACAAATGAAAAATCATTCCATACTTGTGGGTAGGAAGAATCTATATTGTTAAAATAGCCATACGGCTTAAAGCATTTTATAGATTCAATCCTATTCTTATCAAACTACCAATGACATTCTTCATATAATTAAAAAAAGTATTCTAAAATTCATATGGAACCAAAAAAGAGCCCAAAGAGCCAAAGCAATCTTAAGCAAAAATACAAATCTGGAAGCATCACATTACTTGACTTCAAACTATACAAGGCTACAGTAACCAAAAGAGCATGGTACTGGTACAAAAAACAGATATATACACCAATGGAACAAAACGAAAAACCCAGAAATTAAGTCATGCGCCTACAGCCATCTGATCTTTGACACTGACGAAAGCAAGCAATGGGGAAAATACTCCCTAGTCAATAAATGGTGCTAGGACTGCTGGTTAGTTGTGAGCAGAAGACAGAAACCAGACTCCTTCTTTACACCATATACAAAAATCAACCCAAAATGGATTAGAATTAAATGTAACAACTAAAACCATAAAAGCCCTCAAAGAAGACCTAGGCAATACCATTGTAGACATGGGCCCTGTGAAAGATTTCATGATGAAGACATCAAAAGCAATGGCAACAACAATAAAAATTGATAAATGGCACCTAGTTAAACTGAAGAGCCTCTGTACGGCAAAAGAAATTGTCAATAAAATAAATAGACAACCCACAGAATGGGAAAAATATTTGCAAATTAGGCATCTGACAAAGTTCTAATATCTAGAATCTATAAGGCCCTTAAACAAATTAACAAAAACCAAACAATCTCATTAAAAAGTGGGCAAAGGATATGAACAGATACTTTTCAAAAGAAGTCATACATGTGGTCAAAAAGCATATGAAAAAATGCTCAACATCACTAATCATTAGAGAAATGTTAGTGAAAACCACAATGAGATACCATCTTACACCAGTCAGAATGGCTATTATTAAAAAGTCAAAAATAACAGATGCTGGCAATGTTACAGAGAAAAGGGAACACTTACACACTGCTGGTGGGAATGTCAATTAGTTCAGCCATTGTGGGAAGCAGTTTGACAATCCCTCAAAGAACTTAAGACAGAACTACCATTTGACCCAGCCATCCATTATTGGGCATATACCCAAAGAAATATAAATTGTTCTACCATAAAGACACATGCATGCATATGTTCCTCACAGCATTATTCACAATAGCAATGCCATGGAGTCAAATGCCCATCAATGGTATATGGGATAAAGAAAATGTGGTACATATACACCACGGAATACTATGCAGCCATAAAAAAAATGAGATTATATCCTTGGCAGCAGCAACATGGATGGAGCTGGAGGCCATTATTCTAAGCAAACTAACACAGGAACAAAAACCTAACACCACATGTTCTTATTTATAAATGGGAGCTAATATTGAGTACACATGGACACAAAGAAGGGAAGAATAGACACTGGGGCCTACTTGAGGATGGAGTTTGGGAGGAGGGTGAGGATCAAAAACTACCTGTTGGGTACTATGCTTATTGCCTGTGTGATGAAACAATATGTACACCACACCCCTGTGACACACAATTTATCGATAGAACCAACCTGCCCCTGTACCTCTGAAACTGAAATAAAAGTAAAAAAAATCAAAGCCTTTGCCCTTCAACATATACCAGTAAGAAAATGAAAAGACAAACCACAGACTTGGAGCAAATATTTTCAAACTACATATGTGATAAAGGACTTGTATATAAGCAACTCTTACATCTCAATAGTAAGGAAGCAAACAACCTAATCAGAAATGGGCAAAATATGTAAGGAGGTATTTCTCCAAAGAACATATACAAATATCTAACAAGCAAATAAAAAGATGCTCAATTAGCCATTAGGGAAATGTAAATCTAAACCACAATGAGATACTACTCCACACCCACAAGAATAGCTACACAATAAAAAAAAAAAAAACACGGGGAAATAACAAATGTGATGATGAGAAGAAACATATTGCTGATGGTTCATGTAAATCTAATGACTGTAAAATAGTACAGCCCATTAGGAAAACAGTTTGGCAGAAAATTAAACATATAGTTATAATATGACCAAGTAATTGCACTCATAGGTGTTTAACCAAGAGAAATGAAAACAAATGTCCACCCAAAAATTTGTACACAAATGTTCATAGCAGCTTTGTTCACAATAGCCAAAAGATAGAAACAATCCAAATGTCCATCAATTGATGACTAGATAGACAAAAATATAGTATACCGATGCAATGGAATATCATTCAGCTATAAAAAGTATTTATATATGCCACAACATGAATAAACTTTGGTGACATTATTTAGATGAAACGTTCAGGATAGACAAATGCATAAGCACAGAAAGTAGATGAGTGGTTGGCCTGATGCTGGGAGTAGTAATGAAGACTGACTGCAAATGGGCAAGGAAGATGTCACTGACGTGATGAAAATGTTCTAAAATTAGATTATAGTGATGGTTGTACCACCTAATAAATTTATACGATCACTTTAAATATGTGAATATTAGGGCACGTAAATTATCTAAATATGTTTTTAAAACACATTGAGCATCAAGCAAGAAAAAAAGAGAATGTTAATCTCTTTGACAATTTCTTAGGGATTATACAGAGGTCATTAGGCTGTTTGTTGTTTTTGCTGTGGTGGTGGTGGTGATGGTAAGGGTTGTGGTTTTCCCATGAGAGCCAACGGTCAAGCAACCATTCGGTCTTTTAAAATACAAATGTTTAAATCAATTAAAAAAGAATGTTACTGGCTTGAAATTTGGAGTAGTCATAGGGGCAAAGAGAAGTGGATGGATTTTTTCAATATTCAGGATATACAAATGAGAAAATTTTGTAGTGGTTAGATATATAGGTAAAGGGGAAAGGTGAGGAAGCCTCAGACTGAGTATGGTTAAAGTTGAATTCCTGTTGTCCTCCCAAACTGCCTGTCCTGCCACGCTGCCAATCTCAGTGAATGGATCAAGGTCCTGACACAGAGTTGGCATTCATTGATTCCCTTTGGAGTGAATGAATAGAGCATGATGAATAGAGTAAAAATATGGCTAAACAAGGCAGACACCAGGTCCTGCCAAATAGCCAGTCCTAAACCCACCCTTAAGGTTGGCTCAGCAGATGTCCAGCACAATTTTCTTCTCACTTTTCAAACTATTTTGGAAATCATGAAGTCTTCCTCATCCAGAAGAACACTCACCTTCCTATCAGCCATTCCTTCCCTATAACCTATAGGTACCGAGCAGGTTGGGTGTTTTCAAAAGCCTCTTACCCTGTAAATTTTTACACATGGCAATGGCAGGTGTATGTACAGCCCATATGAGCATGGGGGATGCTTAGTGTTATAGAAAGGGGATTACAGTGGTGCCCAGCTGATGGATCTATGTTCAGTTTGGCTCCAAGCAGGAAGAGAGTCTTCCCACCAAAGAGGTTTATTAACCCGGGGGTCCCCCTCCCAGCCCCTGGAGGGAGAAAACACAGCTGTCACAAACATTGTAAACATTGAGTGATCTGCTTGGCTGGTTTAACTGTTGTTCCCAGGGTTGACAAGCAGAAATACAGAACTAATCATGGTTCTTGAGACAGACGCCAAAACAAGGAAGTGATCTGTTCCAGTCCAAGCTTCCAAGAAATAAAAAACTAGGTGTGGTAAACTAAACAAGCCCCCAGACTCAACCACCCCAGTGAACATTCCCTTCATCATACTGGTTATGAGATAAAGTATAAGTTTTTCAAGCCTTATGATAAATAACCATACTTGTGTATTCTACTGTTGTGAAAATTATAGTATTTTTTGTAATATATGATCACTCTTATCATTATCACCAGTTCCTTAATAAGAAGAAACCGGAAGTTGATACCAAAATGTTCATCCATAATGTTTATAGTTCTTTGTCTTTATAGTTAATGTAAAATAAACTATGTAATTTTTACTACAGTGTGTACTGAAAGGGCAAAGCAAGGTACAAGCAGCTCTAAAAGAGTACTGTATGGGAGTCAATTATGAAAGTGTTTCTTAAATATGAGAGCTGAAGTTTTTCTTTCAGCGACTGAGTTAAAGCACCCAACGAACTTATCGTGAGACTTTTGTTAGGTAGTGTACTATGTCCACTCAACGCACATCATTTTAGGCAATCATCTGGTTAAAATGTTTAATTAAGTAAGGAATTCACAAATGCATTCTTCAGAGTTGACATTCAATTAATAGGTTGAATGTCCTTTACAGGGCAGTCAGGAGTATTTAAAGGCTTTTCAACTGTTTTCGAAAGAGAAAGAAAACTTCCTAGCCTAATTTACCCAGCGCCTTGCTCCAGAGGGGCAGACAAAGGGTAAAATCTGGGCAGAGAACATTAGTGGATATGAGCACGAAAGAAAGTGCTGCAAGATCTTGCAGGCAGCTAAGTTCCACCTTCCACTCTACCGCCGAACAAGGTAAGGCAGGGAGAGGGTAGGGACTGGCTGAAAGGTAAACACCAAGTCAGTGACAGATCCTGGGCTGTAAAGTTCGACCGAGATTGAAACAATGTACACTGGGCGTCAGTCACAACGCGAGCTTGCTCCAGCTCTTCCAGCTCTTCCTGAGCGGTAGGCCCATCTGGCCTCACGCTGATCTCCGGGCAGACTGTCGCATAGCTGGCACAGATCGTGACGACAGCCCTGCGGCAAAGCAGGAGTGGCCTTCTCCTTCGCCAGGGTAAAGGTGAGTACCACCGCCTTTGGGCCCAGCAGCCCAGGTGGGAGCCTCCGCCGCCCAGTGCGACAGGCCTGAAAGCGAGCGCCTGGGCAAACGTAGCCGTAGCACCCATCCGGGACACCCCTTCCCTGACCCACAGGACGGAACCCACCTGTGCTGGAGGTCGTGACTCCTAAGTCCGCAGAGCGGGCAGAAGTCCAAGCAAGGAGAGCCTCGGGAAGCAGCCTTTCACCCGCCTTTTGCTTCCCCCCCACAAAACTGTCGGACTCACGCTCCCCTCCCCCAGCCTGCTCGGGCCCAGCAGAGCCTCTAGGCCCCGCCCCACTCCTTCCGGCCGTGCGGGGTGGGTGCCTCTGGCGTCCCGGACTTCGCCCGGTGTTCGGGCGTGAGTCCCCCATACAGACGGATTGGGCCGGGGCACTCTGCAATTGCCTTTATTTAACAGATTTGAAGCAATGAGCGCAGGGATGACAAAAGACAGGCCCATAAAGCTATACTGCGTGTAAAACCTGGGTCGCCTGCCTGCCATTTCGGTGCTCCTCCCGAGTCCCCCAATACACTTCTATTTATGGTGGTTTATCGAGGTTTGCTAGAACTAAAATTCTACTACTTTCTACCACTTTCTTGAGTTTATGGACGTCATATACCTCTCATTACTTTACTCCCATTGATTCAGCGGACTATCTTAAACCCAGGGACCAGGTATAGTGCTACATACAGTGAGCACTAGAAGGGAATAAGCCATTAGTAGTGAATGCGTAAAAAATTAAGAACAATATATATTACAAAGAAGAACCAAAAACTATACTGAAATAGTATGTGCAATGGAAATCCAAGGCAGAGGAAAAAAAAATCGAGAGTAAGAACAACAACAAAAAATCAAATGCATATGTACTGAAAATGGGAAATTGTGCAGTATTTATTCGAGATTAAAAGCATTAACCTAATGTCAAAAAAGCAATAAAGGAATTGATTTGTAGAAGTCAGGATCAACACAAGAGGAAGAAGCCTATACACTTTTGCCCTGGAATTCCTTCTGCCATTAATGCTCTTGCTCCCCACTGGTTTATTTAGAAAACTACTCATTATTTTTGACTCAATTTGGATAGTACCTCCTCTGTGAAGCCTTTTCTGTCTTTCACACATAAGTTTGTATTATTTTTTTCCCTGGCTCCACTGTGTCCAATGGATCTCATACAGGCCTCAAAAGTACCACTTATTCTGGATTATAATTGCTCTTTCAGCATGTCTTTGTACTCTAATGAATAAGTACCTTCTTGAGAGCAAAAACTTGTATTTTTCATACTTGCTCTCCATGCACATAGCCTAACATGTCTATATATTTAATAAATATTTGTTGAACAATTTCTAGAACCAGTGCATAAACAAAAGGACATCCAGAGTGTGAATCTAACATAAAGAGGAAAAACTAAATAAAATGAGAATCTAGATTTAGTCTGGCTGATATTCATTCTTGCAATAAACATTAATGAGTACCTACTGTATGCCAGGCACTGTACTAAGCTCTGGGTGTAAAATGATAAACAAAGCCCAGATATAGTCCTTGCCCTTATGCCCTTATGTTTACAGAAAAAATGGGAGTTCCCCATGCAGGTGAGAAAATAAAAAATAAAAATTTTTAAGCAGAAAGAACAGCATGATCCCATGTCCTGTAACAGGAAGATCATAACTGTAGCAATTAGAGTTAATGAGCTCAGTAAAGGTAAGCTGAAATCAACACAAAGTATCCAGAAAACTGAGGAGGTTGATTGATACACAACACCTGTTTGAGTCAGCAAAAGAAGCAAGCTTCCTTAATGATAGTAACCAACATTTTATAAAATGTGCACTATACGCTAAACACTGTGCTAAGTGTTTTATAATAAACATTTAAGGTATATCATTATTTGTACTTTAAGGGTAAGGTAACTGAGGCACAGATAGGTTAAGCAATTTCACCAGAATCACATGGCAGTTAAATTTCAGAGCTGAGATTCAAGCCTAGGAAATCTGGCTCCAGACTCTAGGGAGTCTAGTTATTTTACTTTCAATAAAATATAAATTTTACTTGTAATAAAATAAAAGGCAGATATTTTACTGTTTCCCGTGTGTGTCTGTGTGTGTGTGTATCAGGTCACATGGTGTATGGCACAGACTGGAACTTCTTAATATTTTTACAATGAATGAATAGCTGAATAAAAACAATAGGTACAAATGTGCCAGAAAATAAAATAGAAAACAGTAGTATCTGGGTCCTTTTATGTTCCAGCCACACCAGCTGTTCCTAGAACATACCAAACTTGTTCCTGTTCTGTTTCCAAAATATAATCTGCTCATGTATTTGTCCCTGACTGTACTGCTAACATTCAGGATCAGAGTTCGGCAATTTTTTTTTTTCTGTGAAGAGTCAGCTAGTAAATATTTTAGGCTTTTTGAGTCACAAACAGTCTCTGTCTCCTAGTATTAAATTCTGCCTACATAGAGTGAAAGAAGTCACAGACAATACATAAATGAATGAGTATGTAAGTATGTTCCAATAAAAGTTTATTTACAAAAACAGGCAAGACGCAGGATTTGCCCTGTGGGCAATAGTTTTTAGATCATTTCTCTGGGCCAAATTATTACCATCTCTTGCATGGACTACTGTATTAAATGATGTCTGAGAGCCATCATCTTTGACTAACATTTACACCTTGGTTTTTTTTTTATTTTTTATTTTTTATTTTTTTTCTGTTACACCTTGGTTTTATCAGCATCTTAATGAAGCTTTAGTGCTCTCTAATCATATTTATAACCTTGAGCTCTTGACATGTGGTTAAAACTGTGTGTTAATTGTGATTTTGAACTTTGATTTGTCAAAGATGGTCTTTAAAAGAACTAACTACTAGTGATCTTTGAAGGAGTTTAAAGAAATAAAGAAGGAAATTTTATAACAAAAGTAGTGACTTTTAGCCAGAAAATAAATATTCTGGACACAGTGCAATGTTGAATTTGGCTGAAGCTTTGGTCTATGACAAGAATTCTGCTATGTACTCTATAGAGAAACAAATAAATGCTAAAAATTTTCAGAAATAAGCTAGACCATGTAAAATTTTCCTCACCTACTCATGAACAAAAATTTGGTAAAGCTTAAGGGTATATTCATTTGTGTCTGGGGATGTGAACATTTCTGACTCGGGATATGAATGTTTCTGACTCTGAACAGAAATGTGATGCAGCATAAACTCAGTAACCTGTACAATTAATTTTGTGGTGAAGAAGTATTAGTTAGGACTCATTTGTTAAAAGTTACCAAAACCTACCTGAAACTAACAAGCAAAAGAGAGAAATGTATGGGAAGATAATAAGGTGTTTCACAGAACTCAAGAAGGACTGGAACAACCAAAACTTTTTAAAAAGTAAGATACAGTTAGGTCTCAAGAATGGTCAAAACCAAGGAATCGAATGACATTGACTGTATCATTCTTTTATCCCTATTCTTCCCTGAACATTTATCTGGTCTCTCTCTCTCTCTCTCTCTCTCTCTCTCTCTCTCTGTCTCTGTCTCTCTCTCTCCCTCCCTACTCACTCTCTACCTTCCTTTCCTCCCCTCTCCCCTCAAGCTTTATTTGTTTCCTAAGTCCATGTAACAGTAGATATGGTTACTGGTACCTTCCTAGATTTTCATATTACAGCTTCAGCCACTGAAGAGAGACACTAAGCCAGATCAGGTCCTATGAAAAGCAGATGCCGAGACAGAGTTACAAATCTAGAGATCTACCACAGGTAATGGCTGGCAAGATAAAGAGGAGATTACAGCACAGTTCTCTGGAAGTCTCAACCACCCCAACTAGGAGCTCCAGAGCAGAGATTGCTGATTACAGGAATCCTACTTTAGGCAGAAACAGCCCTAGTACACCTCTTGTGCTCAGAGATTGGCTGGATATGCCTGGGAAGGGAATGGTCTTGGATCAAATGATGCAAAAATATCTCAAAAGTGCTCCAGCTGGAGACTGTTAGCTGACTCCACTCCTCATAGTAGGTTTTCTCTTGAAAGATCTGAGAGGCACTTCCTGGTTGTCATAGGCCTTTATGGTCCCATCTCCATAAATCTGTGAGGGATTTATTTGCCAAGTTTGAGTCTGGTGGTCATCCAAGTACAATCAACTGTAGCTAGGTAAGTGATGTAACATATAACAAAGGATAATTTTTTTCAGTTTGCCTGGGCTGAGGAATTCTCTGGGATGTGCTAAAACCACGACAGTCCTGGGCAAACTAGGATACTTAGTTATTTTAGTAGTACCCATGTTAATAGGGGTGGAAAAGTTAAAACCATCCAATAATATCCTACATATACACAATTGTACTTTACTGCATTTTATGGAGGAAATTCTATATGTCGTGGTTTTATTGGATTAGGAGATTTTATAAAGGTCTCAGGAAACTTCCCTTGAAGATGACAAAGGTTTCATACTTTATTTCTTCCATGCTGACTCTCTTGTGAATTTGTACATTCTTCCTCCATCTAGAATGCTCCTCTCACTGGAACCTCCCTCCCCTCACCCTTGTCATCACTGTTAGAAATGTTTCTTACCCGTTGCTCTGGTTTCCACATGGAATTATTTCTCTAAAATAAGATTAAATCATATAAAGAATGCCAAGCACCTATCTTAGGACATGACATAAAACAGGGGCTTGTGTCAGTCAGGTTCTTAGTTACATGCAACAGAAGCTGAATCTGACTGATTTAAGCAGAAAAAAAAAAAAAAGTTATGTTGGGAATGACACTAGACTAGCACTCCTGCCATTAGAAAAATCATGAAGCTGCATATAATATGCAAGGAAACTGTTTAAAGATATTGAGCAATAGTCAGCACATGATTATGATCCCCAGGAAAAGAGAAACTCACAAATTAAGCCCCAAGACTGCCTCAGCTCGTTTCCTGCTGACAATTTTCTGATCCCAGCATCAAGAGCTGGATTCCAAGCTGAGCTTTCAGTCTCATTGAATGGAGGAGGCAAAGATCAGAATTCAGGGTAGTTGAAGCAGCTGAAATGTATGAAGCAACGCATTAGAGAAGACAATCTGTGCAGATGTTGGGGTTTCCAGCAAAACTTTAAAAAGAGGAGGAGTTATAGAACTTCTTGATTTCAAGACTTACTATAAAACTACACTTATCAAAACAGTGTGGTATTAGAGTAAGAAGTAACAAGTCAATGCAGTAGCTCAGAATC